CTATGAATGGTATGGCTCTGCTCCTGCCCTGGGCAATACACGGTGGTAGCAGCCTCGGCTGCTTGTGCTACCCAGAGGAACCTCTCCACCAGCCACAGAGGCACTGCACGTGTTCCTTGTACCAACGCAATCCCTTGGCCATACAAATTGTCCTCTGCACTTAGATCTGCCAAAATCTCTGTTTCCCTTCAGAGATGCCAACAAACTCAGGACTCACATGAAGGGATGATCAAAATGAAACTCCTGGGCATCATAAACTCTAGGCGGTCTCTCGCCTCAGCTCCACCTGACCCATCCACCTGATGGACTTGGTCCTGCACAGTGGAAAGAGTATAGAAACCCAGGCTGCCTGTACTCCAGACCTTCTAGGAGGAGTCACTTTCTATGCTAGAATGAAAATTTGGTGCAGGCTGTTTCACTCTTATTTCTGTCATTACCTAATGAGTCATAAGTGCATCCATCCCTACATCTTGAGAACGTTTTCGTTTTTATTATGCTGTTGGTTTTTTTTCTTCTCTAAACCCCATCATTAAAAATCAATTAGCTTATGGGCAGCGTTATACAGATGCTTCTGCAGCAAGGGGCTGACATCTGCACTGCCAGCAGCCCAGATACTACAGCAATATATGTCCAGAAATACCCATGGAGGACAATAAACCCCCAGCCCTAAAGCTGTATTCTTTTTGATCAAGAAAAGGACTGAATGTCCAGCTTGGGCTTACTTCCCTGTTTCCTCCATAATTAGCACACTTCTTAGAGCAAGCAGAAAAGTTTAATTGTCTTTAATTAATGGCATTCAAGGAGGACTGGGTTTCTTGCCTGATATCCATATAATTTCCCTGCCAACAACTTCATCATCATCCCTTTACTGGAACTGTAGTGCAGCTTGTAAAGCTCTTTTCCACAAAAGACACAGAAGTTTCAATCAAGGCTGTGCTGCTGCCACAAGCAGAGACAAAAGTCCTTGTGTCTACGAGGCTCTTGCTTAGGCTGCTGCATGTGTTTTCTGTGGGGTGGGAGGGAAGGAGTTGCAACTAATGTGCAATCAAGAACCATCACAATTACAAATGTAAATGAACATCCAATTGGCACTGACCTTTGTAGATTGTTAGAGGACTAATTAAGGTATGATCAGACACTCTCTTCCAACAGATTGAGATGCATCTATACAAGAAAATATCTACACACCACCCCAGAGACAGTGATGCTTTTTCCTACATGCTTGCACACACCAGGGAGTACGTATACACAGTGAGACACAGCATTTAACCCTGACATCTCCTCCCTGCCACTGAGCAAACAGGACAGAGTGGGAAGCAGACAAGGCAACTCCATCACTCCCAGAACACAAGGCTGCGGAATGAGGGGTGAGCCACCTTTCATTACTGCGAGATGTAGTTGTATGTAAAGCTGGGGATGAGGAAATTGGCACAAACTGGCTGAAGTTAGGGAAAGAAAAAAAGGCCAAATACTCCTTCAACATTTCCAGCAAAGCCACAGAGGTCTCCAGCAGCAGCAGGAGTGATGGTGGCTGCACGTGCTGGCACCTTGCTTTGGGTAACAGCTGGCCTGGGGGGTCTGCCCTGGAAGCAGCAGCAGCAGCAACAGGCTGTATCTTACCATCCCCATGGAACTCGGCATCCCCTTAACAACATGATCCATTGCATCTGCTTGCTTTTGATCACAGCAGCCAGAGGATGTTGTTTCACACCACTGCTGAGGTGAACCTACAGCTGGCCAGCTACACCAGCAAGAAGATAGACCAGCACAAGAAGGGCATGGTTTTCTGCCAGCTCAGCCCTGCCAAAGAACTTGCAGTTCCTCAGGCACAAGTCATGGTCCTGCTCAGCCACCTCATCCTCATCCTTGCCCACTGAGTTTTGAGCATCTCCCAGGATGGGGACTCCACAACCTCCCTAGGCAGCCAGCCCAGAGCTGGGCCACATCCCAGGGAAGAGTTCTGCAGAAGGTAGAAAAGCTGAGGACTGAACATTCTCAGAAGGAGCAGTTTATTCACTTTGGGGGAAAAAGGCAAGCTGATATTGTACGTGTAGGGAAACAGAATTAGAAACAAATAATAATTAACTAGAAGGGGAGGGAGAATCACAGTGATGATTACCAGGGAGTAACAGCAGCATCAAAACAAACCCCTGCACTTGCAATGCAGCAAACCAGCAAAAAAGCCGTCATCCCTTTGGGTCCCTGACAGAGGTGTGTCACAGATCAGAAAAGCACTTTCTGCTCAAAGTGTGCGAAACAGAGAGAAGACTTTCTTGTGTTATCTGTTACCACCAGAGGCTCCTTATCAAAACGTAGAAAGGGAAGTCACCTAGCCCTCAGAAAAAAAAAAACAAAACAGTAAAAATGCAACAGGGATACAGTAGAGACACCAAGGTATTGTATAGGTGGAAGAAAAGCAGCGAGCCAGCTGCACACAGCTGTAAGTGCAGCCCTGCCACAGAGGATGTGCATGTCCCACGCTGGCAGCACGGGGCTGGAAGACCCGCTGGTGAAGTCCCACAGAATGTGCTGTTCTCCTGAATGGCTGGAACAGCCAAACACACCAGCAGAGTTCAAAACCAAGACAAAACAAACATGTCACAAGAGAGAACTGAAGGCCAGATATGTGCATATTCCTGCTACACATCGCTGACACCCAAGACTACAGAAAAACAAGGCTGTGAGTTCAAACCTCACAGGAAAAAAGGAAGGATCAGCCTTCTGGAGGGAGATTTTTTACGCATGAAATGATTACACTGAATAAATCAAAGCTGAGAAACACATTACTGTTGCGCCCTTCATGAGGCTGATCTTGCCTGCCATGAGGCCACCCCTGATGGATGTCACCCCTGCAGCATCCTGATGTGCCTTGCCCTGGGACATGTCCTCAGCCCAGCCACTAGCCTGGGGCACTGGGATTACCCCACTGTATATTCAAGTTGATGCTCTGATACCTCAACAGGATCAGAATAAATGGGAGATGAAAGCGCCCATTTTCCCCTATGGGAGAACTGCAGCTTCTCACTCAAAGCCAACTCCCATCACTGCAGGTACAACCTGTCCAGCACCTTGTGCCTTGGCCATCACCACACCAGTGAGGTGTGTCTGCTCAGCCTTGCTCAACAATGGGCTGGAAGAGTGTTTGAGATTAAATATCTTGGGTCAAACCAACCTCCAAAACAGATCAGAGGTTCACTCTTTGTATTCTAGATCTTATCCTTGTATTTTTATCCTTTGAAATAAAATACAATAAAGAAATAGTGTCTTGTTTGCTGTCAGTTTTTGTTGAAGAACCAAGAGGCTTCAAGGGAACTATCCCAGGCCACTGAAAAATCAAAATATTTTAAAAATAAGATTTCCTTGCAGTGACTTACTAAGAATTTTAACAAAAAAAAATAATCTTTTTAAATGGTCAAAAAACTATTGTCCTTCTAAGTTAGTCAGCTTCTGCACTCTTAGTACCTGCAATGTCATAATCCTGGCAGACATACAAGGAAAGATAAAGTTTCTGAAGTAAAAGACAAGGTAAACACAAATTTCTAAAGTAAACAAAGGTTTCCAGGATTGTTCTGTGTGTCACAAAAGGGCACAGATGGTTTGTCCTCTCTGTTCCTTTTGCTTTTAAGAAAACTCATAAACCATAAAACACTTCAACATATCCTTTCAGAATTGGAATGTTTTTCTGCAGTGGAGAAGCGGAATGGCTCCAAGAGCTGCTGTCCCCTCTGGATGGTGTGGCAACCACCACATGCTCTCCCTGTCACCATGACCTTTGGGAAAGTGTGTTGCATGCCCTCTACTCTGCTGAGTACACAGATAGGTCACTTTTTTCCATGAGACTGAATTTAACCTCTTACTGAAAACTCTCCTGCTTTACTTTCTGGGTGTTCTGCAACTATTTCACATCCTTGTTACTAACACGTGTAACAGCAACGCAGTGCAGGTGTTAATTGAAAAGACGTTTCTAAGACTCACATGTATTTTCCTCCAGCTGGTGCTGCTCTCCTTTCTCAATGCCTTTAAGCTAAGATCACTTTCCTTGTCTCTAAGCCATTACTTGAGGAATGCCATTTCCTCAGAGCACTTTTCTGTGAGATTTATCCAGTCCTGGAGGGAAGTCCTGGTTGAAACAGAGGAGGGCTGTGGAGGGTTTCACTCGCATCCTCCCAGCTCCAGCATCTTCACATCCTTGGCAGTGTGTGTACCAGCCAGCTTGGCAGGCTCTCCTCGTCCCCCCTCTTCACAGGACTTACCAGATCTTGCTTTTTCGTAACATAAAAATATTTTTAACCCTTTAAATTATTAAACAAAGTACAATTTCTGTTCTGCCCAGCCTAACTGCCCCCTTTAAGGCACCTTTTCTCTTGCTAGATTCACAGCTGCAATCCCTTTCCAGTTATTTGTCCTTTCTGTATGAGCATAGACTTCACCCAAGCCCTTTGCCTTATCCACCTTATCTCATGAGGAGACATGGAAAACAGACCAACACTTGCCCCTTCTGCTGCCCACCCCTTTCAATCTTCCTCATGATCTAATGTGGCTGAAATATTAGAAACCAATGAAAAAACTGGGATGGGTTTGCACTGGTGCTTAGGATATCACTTGATGCATTGCAAAACTTCTACTAAAAGCATAGTTTGTTAGAGTTGTCCTAACGTGATGGTATCTCTAGACGCTCATAAATATTTCACTTACAAGTACGAAATAAAGAACGTGTGTAAATATTTGGTGCTTCTGAGCCACCACCCACAAACTCCATGAAGCAAAAGAATGCTGGATGCTGCAGGTACAACAGGATCTTGTCCTACCTCAGGGTAGCTGGGACTTCCATAACACATTATTGATAGGCAATAAGTGCCATCCCACAGCAGGGAAGACAACCAAGAAAGTCACCAAGCTTGCCACAGAACTGCATGGAGGGTCTGATGCTCCTGATCCAATCCTGTGATGCAGAGGGGGCAGGAGCCCAACCCTGTGCATGCAAGGGGGGCAGCACTCACCAGCTTCAGCTGCCGGACATTTCCGGATGGTGAAGATCTGTCCCAGGTCTTCCTCTTCTTCAGGAAGACCTTTCTGGAGGCGCTGCAGCTTCCGTAGGCTTTCACTCCGCTGGTGTTTCATGGAGCGCACATGCTGGATAAGGTTCAGCTTGGCCTTGGTGGAGTAGTTACAGAGGACACAGTGGTAATAGCAGCTTTCACCTTCAACCCCACTCTCATGATGCTGAAGGTGCTGTGAAGAACAAAGTAGAGAGATGTGAGTTTCCTTTACACCTCCAGTCTCCCTGGGTTAGTCCATTGTAAATTGCTAAAAGCCACCTGGGAACTAAGTAAGAAACCATAATTTGATGAAGACACAGTAAGATCAAGCCTGTTTATTCTCAAGGTACCACACATGCTCCTGCTTAGAAGCAAGAAAACATAACATACTGAAATAAGCACAGAAGCAAAACTCAAGATGGGCAAGATAATCTTCATTGAAAGAGAACAGCAGATCCAACATAACTGTTCACAATTTATGCGTGGTTAATTCTTTCACATTTAAAGCTTATCCAGGGAGGGGACCCAACTTCATGTCAAACAGATAAAATTAAATGTGATAAATTCTCACTGAAAACTAGGAAGAATAAAACTAAAGCAGTCCTAGAACACAACAAACCCATTAGACTGACAGGTCCTGGGAACAGTGTATGGGAGCGGAACATGGAGTGTGTGCCATCCTATCCATCACCCAGCACTCCGTTACCTGACATTTAGGTTTTACTCCCTTGGATCTGGAAGAAAGCAGCAGCCTGGCCTGGAAGATGGCTGTGTCAGCGGTCCAAATTGAGAAGCCTATGGTGAGCATGCAGCCAGATATCACCACAAGAGGTTAGCACTTGGAAAACCCTTGCCCCGCTCTGAAGCTGTGCTACTGCAGCAAATGTGCCTAATTCAAGAGTATTATACCTGGATTATCTATACCAAAATCTATCAACTGTCTGGCACAGAGCTTCATGCTAGGGAAACAAATAGCTGGTTTATGTCCTGGATCTCAAGGATGTGGCAATTACTTCTCAAAAGCAGAGGGAAGCATTCAGTGCTTACGGCTATGCTGGCTGCTGTGGCAGCAGCTGCAGGGCTGAGTTCACAGTAACTGTCCCAGTTCCCACAGTAATGCTTATCTCAAGTGGAGGACAAATGGATACCAAAGTCAAAAGACTCTTGAGTGAAGACCATTTGGTGCTTCCACCACAAACCTACGTTTCAGCTCTGCAACAATCCCTGCCAGCTCCCACCATCCAACCCCAAGACCTGTTTGTCTTCTAGGTCATCTCATGAAACTCCCTCCTCAGCATGCACCTCGCCCAAGGCACACAAATAAGGTGATTTCGACATGCTCTTAAGGTTTGTCAATCAAAAATATTGCCTACGTGCAGCCAGAACCTTCTGGTAAAGATTCTGACGTGTATTATCTCAGTTACAGCTAAGATAAGATTAAAGACACATATTACCTAGTGCTGTGTGCTTAGCTAACACAGAGGAAGGAGAGCCCTCTGAGTCTAGGAATGATTAAAAATAGGATAGGAGCTGATGCTGAGGCTTCTGATTGGAAGAGCGAGGGAAGAGAATAAATGTATTCTAGATCTGGCTAATTAGACTAGCCTCTTTTGGGATCACAATGTATTTAATTAAATTCACTGTAATATTTGAAGAATCCACTAGGGCACTAATCCCACTGGTGCCCTCAAAAGATTTTTTGCTGTTTTCCCTCATAAGAACTTCTTCTTCATCTCATTTCTATTGTTTGCATGCATTACCCTCTTCCTGAGCCAGAAAAAGAGAAATGGCTTAAGACATAAAAGGCTAAGGTTAGCGAGCTGGTCTCAAGAGCCACGTGACTGGCCCACATGGCCCAACTTAACCAGCCTTGCTCTGCCCCACTTAGGTCAAACCTCTGCAATAAAACCTCCCTTCCACCCCATCGTGCTGTGGGCTGGGGGGTCTCGCTCCAGGAGACACATGGAAAGCCCTGTCCTTCAGCTATCAGGAAGCCCCCATCCTGCAGACACCATGCTCAGGCTTAGGCAGTGCCAATGGGCTCAGGAGCAGCTTCTGCAAGAAGGCAGAGGAATCCCCTGGTGAGCAATTAGAGAAAAATCTGGTTCCAGGTTCAAGGAAATGCTAAGATGTGGTCTCTGTGGGAACCAGAGGCACAGTCTGTACTGCTCCCATTTAAAAAGGGATTTTAGGAAAACTTTTGTTTTAAACTATTTAATAAATGTGTCTTATTTTCTGGTGTTCTTTTGCTCCACTCAACACATGTTCAAATATCCCTTGTGATAGCTTCACTTGCCTGTCCTGCCCAATGGTGCAAAAAGCCCACCCTGGACATGGCACATCATCACATGCCCACCTCTGATTCATGTCAGTCTTCCAATGGATGAGAGGAGCAGGCCAGAATAAGACAACATGATGGATGAGAAAGTACAAGCTGTGAGTTGGTGGAAAGGTAAGACACTGGACAAATACATGTAGTTATTGTCCATCACACTGTAAAGCTTTCCCCTTGTGAAAATTTATCCGTATCACAGAAAGCAAATTCAAAATATTAAACCAGAACTTTGTTAGAAGACAAAACAACTTGAAAATCAAAAGAATATACTGTTCTTAGGAAAAGCAACCAACTTCTGTCAGAGAACATTGATTTCTGCAAGTCTGGGGGGTGTTTGTCCCCTCCCTCTCAATGATAGGAAACTTTCAACATCTGGTTCTTCACGCATGGCATGCAAAATATTGATCAGGTTTAGTCAAAGCTCCACTTTAAATCAGAAACAGACAGGAACGCTCTGATGGAAGCCATACGGCTCACGAGTACAGCTTCCCGAGGGACATGGGCTGTTCCTGTATGTACACTAACCGCAGCACAACACTCTGCCGATCCCAACACCTATCCCTACACACAAATCAAACGAAATCTGGCCCATCTTCCATCTGGGAAGGGCTTGGGTCTCTAGGCAAAGCTGCACAGTGACAAGGGCAGGAGGATCCCACCCAGAGACCTCACCTCCTCCATCTGCCACAACCCCTGCACCGCCTGTCCCCAACCTTCAGAGCCCTTCCTGGGAGAACACCAGCTCCTCACCAGTTACAAACACCTCAGGTCTGGCAACTTCACCTCAATACCAAAAGCCACTCACTGCCGCTCTGCCCTGTGCCCCCCAGGGTGACCTCACCCCTGTCCCACATGATTTGTCCCCACACAGCATTTTGGGACAGTTTAGGGAGTAATCCAGAACGACCTCCCCCTTCCTCTAGGTATGGCTGGAAGAAGTCAGCATGTTTGGGAGGTCTGAACATAGAGACACTTTAAATAAGCAAGATTAAAATTACAACTTGTGCCTATACACCCTCAAGAGTGCCATGGGCCAGCAGGCAGCAAGCAACCCTCCAGGGATCACACTCTGCGCAGCACCAGTCACCAGACCTGGAGGAGGGAGGTGAGGGCACCCGGTGGTGTTCACACCAGCGCAGCATCAGCCACAGCAGGAGAAGGGTGCAGAGCATGCAGGCACAGATCAGGGAATGTAGAAGAGGCACGAGCATGAGCGAGCAAACGTGTGCTGGGACACGCTGACCTGCACTGGGCTGGGGAACTGACTTTCCAGCCCTCACTCTCTAACATCTGGCTTGGAATTGTTTTCTTCTAATAAATAATAGCATAATAAATGTTCGCAGCATGACTACAGAAATCTGACTTTTAAACAAAGGAATTACACTATTTTCAGTACTTCTTTCTTTCCACCTCCTTCATATACTCCAAACTTTGTTTATTTTAACATGGCTCTCTTCCCCATCTAACACTGCCTCACCCACCATATTTTTCAGTAATCACGGAATTTAATGCAACAGCTGTATTAATCCGACTGCAGGCAGTCCTCACCCCTGTGCCACAGTTTCAGGCTACGTTCTTCAGAGATGAGACTGTTGTAACGAGGACTGAGGATCCACATTGCTGCTATTACCCAAGTAATGAACTCTCCCGCTGAATATCTTTGTAGGTGTTACTGTAGTTAATGTTCAACATTTAATCTGGTTTCTAGAAACTTTTGTTATGTCTTTTAAAGATATCAAAACCGTATCTGCTCCAAACCTCTTCCGTATTAAGTTTTTTACAGCCACTGTGTGCAGAGCCCGCTTCCCACGGTAACTTGAACAGATAATCCTCCCTATAGCAGTTTGTTGCCAGAAGGCACAATGTTATTTTCCAAACGCTGTTTGCTCTGCATAGTGGGTCAGATACTGTTCTGGCAGATATCTGAACTGTAACCCTAGCTCACCAGGGAGACGCAATAAGTGCTTTGAACTATCTCATGCTTTTGATGTTTATTATTCATTCGAAAAAAAGGCTCAATTTCTATGCAATCTTAACTTCATCTTGCATAAAGTCTCCCCTTTGGAGGGCCCTAAAAGCCCCTAAGGAGAAACTCACACTGACAGCAGAGGGCATCTCACAAGCCATTGGTCTACAAGCTGGAAGACCAACAATCTCTCGAAACAGCAAGATCCCACTTCCACCCTCAGGAAGTCTCAATGGTCCACAAAGCAGCAGAACACGTGACAAAGCTCTCTACAGGCTCGAGGACATCGCCCTTTTGCAGACCTCAGAATGAGAACAAGTAGTAGAAAGAAACCCAGTGAATGCCCCCCAGGACAAGCAGCCTGGGCTCTCCTGCTCCCTGCTGGGGTGCACAAGGACTTCCCACACGTGTCATAGTGTCTGCAGGCAGGAAAAGCAGGTGAGGTAACAGGCCTAGGGGCCAAAACCCAAAGTGAGAAAATGATCTCATGAACTCTGTGCAGCAAACAAGAGAACCAGCCGTAATAAGTAAGAAACCCTTCCTCACCACCAGTGGCTAACAGGATCACCAGCTGCACAGTGATCCAGATCCCGAACCGAGGATCTGGGCAAAAGTGCTTATGGGGACAGCCAAGGGGAGTCCATCCCCCTGTGTTTACACCAACATCCCTCCCACTTTCCAACATCAATCCTCAGGAAGGCCAGGGGGAGGTATGGGTAACTGAGAAACAGCCTAATGAAATCTCTTCCAAACCACTTTGGATCTCCTTCTCCAGCTGGCTCTCACATTACAAGACAATCCTCCATGAAACCAGAAGCCACTTGACTACCAGGAGCTTCTACAAGAAAGTTTCTGGTCTTGAACATCTTTGGAGGAGGCTTCGTCCCCATGT